AACGCCGGAATTAGGTGACCATGGAGAAAAAAAAATGCTCGCTGTAATATGTAGAAAAAAATAAGATGAAGAAGTAGCTAGATTAGTGAAAGCTACTGGTAAGTCAGACAATTATGTACCAAACTGAACTAAATTGATAATGCCCTACCAAAAAATTAGACCCTGTTTAGACTCATCCGGGCTGTGCACTAAAGTGAGAGGGCTTTTTTACTTTTTGGAGGATAATCCCATCTAAGGAAAACTGAATTAAAGCCAGGGTGCATGTAACTGGCAGTCAAACAAAATATAGCGGACAACGAAGATACCCCATCGCTGGTTTTGAAAATCCTACAACTTGCCCACTTACCCGTTTTTTACACATACTCGAGGCGAAATGTAATCTCTGTCCTACTGCAGAGACCGACTCGGTCTGTTGGGCCAGACCTACGTAAGGCGAAAATATAATAAATTTATTTGTGGCTAGCATTCGAACGAAGCGCTACGATTTTTAAAAAGCGAAAAACGCTATTATGTATAATCCAACCTAAACTAACCTAAGTTGAGCCTGTCAAGCCATTACTTCAACAAGGTTTGTAATTTTGGTATAATCTGATCTAGACTTGGGAGTATAGGTTAAGGGCTGACACAAGATGAAAAATAGGTTATTTTTACACTTATTCGAAAACTCAGATACAAATAAGACTATTGCATTTGTGAGATGTGAGCGACGCTAGAATCCATTGATTGCCAATTGACTTTCCCTAAACAGGAAGTCAAGTCAAAGGTCGGAGCCCATAATATACTAGACTGGATAGAGAGCTGATCTCTCGCGAGCACAGAAAGTCGAGCTTGTGAACGTAGGCGTCCCATGGTAATCTTTTATTAACGGCAAGACCAAGTATGAGTGCTGCGTCTAGGTATTTGACGAGTTATTTGAAAACTGCAGTCTCTATGCATCGGGTCGAAGTTTTTCATCAGCAATATCTATGTTAAAAGTCTTTATCCTGATGCGAATCTCCTTGAGTCCTGAAATAAATACCACTAAATACTCTACTCAGTGTAAAGTATACAATGCTATTTATGCTGTTTAAACGAGCGGATGTAATACTTTTCCTTGCAAGCCGGCCATCTCACATAAAACGTGTACAACCTTTACCTATTGTATAGTGATTAAGACGATATTAATCTTTTAGTTTTTGCCTCTTGATTATCGCCTCGATGGACAAGTTTAGCTGGTTTAAATATTCGAAAACGAGAACATAAATGTTCAGCACATCATCTATGTTTTTCTTCACAAATCATCACGAAAAGTTTTTTTTTTGTGGAAAGGATTTTTATAAGTTACCTGAAAAAATTTATAAAGGGATATCAAGTAGTTAATGCTAATTCATTCATATGATTGACTTACTTGTGAAACGGTTTGGAATAACGTCTGCGGGTGAAAATTGTCATTAAATGTAAAAAAAAAAGGCCGAGAGTGTTCTTGTAAATTGTAATTAAAAAAAAAAAACATTTGAATTAATCTGTTTGAAAACCGGATCGAACCGCTGAATGCTACCGGCTCAACGATTGTAACGTAAAATAGTTTATACTGGCACGCGATTAACTTCTAATACGCGGCTGAATCGGGCTAAATTTTTGCCGTAGAGAACCGTTAATGCCATATGTGTTGTTGTACAAGAACTTAATTGAAAATATAAGACAAGAATAGGAAGAAGCAGACGTGAGTCGAGAATGCTAACATTGTTGACTCGTGGGTCCACTAGGATAGAAACCACGGAAATTTTAAATCCAGGTTTTATACACTTAACTTTACCAAATTATAATCTGCTTAGCTTTTTTTAAATATTATTTTAGTAATATTTTTAATATTAAATTAGTAAGACCGTTAAGCCATTTGGCGAACAAAGACGCTGTCATCTCAAGGTATGATTTTAAGTCCTTTACAGGTCATTCGATCGTCAACAGATGATTATCACAGCGACTGTTGCTCTTACCTAGCCTTTTCCTATGTCCTTCAAGATCATACTCATTTATCCACATCGTTACTTTGCAGGATTGTTTTCGACCAATCGTTTGCGGTTTCACATATGTGTTCATTCAAAACCGATGCTGCTACTACATCACAATGTAAAAAACCTCCAGCTGTCACGGACAACAACACCTGACTATAGGAATTCTAGCGACAACCAGCTATTAATATTAACAAATCATTTGGTATGAGAAATGGACCAATACGATATTTCCATGTAGGTTGTATAATAGAGCCAAAATACGGCACGTCCTTCTACGGATATTTATCGGAGTATACCCACTAAACCATTGTTTTCGACTTCATCTAGAAAGGTCTAGAACCTCTATTCGCATTAGTTCAGCGTCCTCCAATGGGGGCCTCAACCTGTGCTCTTTTACCTTTCGTTCGACTTTTGTTTGGCGTTTATCCCATTTCTTTTGTGGTTTCTGTCCAGATGTTCTTCAGCATTCTGCTTCTGCACAATGACTGAGCTTTTTATTTCACGTCTTTTCTATTGTCATCACGTACTTCACTACCTTTTTGATTGTGCTATATCTTGTATATATCAAAGCACTTCTATTCTGACAGCGATAGGTTACATAGGGACTTGTCAAGGATATATAGTTGTTAACGGGTTTGTATGCTACATGAAAATAGACGAATAAACTTACAGTTATATAGAGAAGTTCGGCAGAAAGCGGCGGATTTCAGCTGGAACCAGCAAGACCAAAGCGCGTTTAAGGAGTGAGGCACAACCGTACCAACCAATCAGTGCCCGCTAACAATGAAGATGGATAGTTCAGTATACGTATCATTTATTACGCTACTGAATGATAGTGAAGAGGCTATATTTTTAGGCAAACGATTGCTTAATAGGGCAACGGTTCTTAACCGTAAAGGTGGACAGACAGGGCTCGTATTGTATACAGATGTGCATGCTGACATTAATTAGAATATAGAACAGTTGGTCTACCGCGATATGCTAGTCTTGCACTACTACGAATAAGATGTGCAGACCTATGGGAATAGTTGCGGAATCATATAATATCCGATACATATTGAACAAGCAATGTTCATTGCAATTGCAGGAAAGAAAATAATAATGGGCTATCGGCCAGAGTGAACCCAATGGGCTGTGCAATCGAGTCAGTGATCGATTAGCTAAATATTATAAACACGTAGCCTACGTAAGTGCGACCGTGCCCTTGTAGGCAACACAGCTGGGTCATAAAGACGATCGCCAACCTGGGACATACTTGTACACAGTTAACCAACTTCAATATTGGCTAAGTGCCGGAAAGAAGCTGGCCGTGTACCGATGCCTTATTGAGGGCCGCTAATACAGAGAGAGCGTTACGTCTCCTATAACAAAGCAAGATCATGTGTGGTGGCGTCCGCCAGAGCAGGTCTAGCCTTATATGCATACAGGTTTTGCCATGGCTAGCAGAAGTACAAACAGCAATACAATACAAAATGAAAACTTCATAGGATGCAATATGATGCGAAAGGTGTATTAGGTACACGATATTTCTTAGTAGAAGAAAACTCCAGACCAAGCTCCGTACGTCCATGGTCATTACCAAAGTGTTGTAGCGTGGCGTCTATCAACTGACTGAGCTAGTGAGTAGGAAAGTCATATTGTGGTTGCTTATTGTTTACAGTTTCGACTTTGCAAGATGGCGTGTGAAGGTGAAAATGCCACAATTTCTGCTGACAAACGTGGCCTATCGGCCGAGATTGTTCCGACGGGACAATCTTGGACGATGGATAGAACCGGGAACCTCGGAACAAATTTAATGATGAGTCCTGAAGATGAAGCAACAACTGCAAACTAAGCATGCGGATTATTTATACTACTGTGAAGACGGTCCATTTGATAAGTAGATAGCGTTACATTAATTGCTGTGACGAACGAGTGTTCGTGGGTTTAGCGGCCGATGAAGTACGATCCGTAAACAGCTGTTAACGCTTTAGGATATGCATGCAGACGATTCGCTCATGTATGTACACAACGTGCGTTGTGTACATCAGATAGTACCGAAGCGCCCTCGCAAATACCAGTACTAATGGATCGACTTCACTTCAAAATGAAGCGGAGTACAACGAATTCTACTCTAGAGAGTCAACGAAGATGCTTGATATTGCTTGATAGCTACACCGCGAGACTCTGAGAAATCATTGCAGAATACATTTCGGCATCATAGTATTAGAGGTTACTGCATATACGATGATTTGTTTTCGATCGGGGTAGTAATGGGTAAGGTATGGTAGACGAACTACGGTGTTCTTCATAATTACCTTAATCAAATCGTAGTGGAAACACCATAGATGTGATGTTACGAGTGACTGTTGTGAATTGAGACGAAACACATCATAGTAAAATACCATGGAAGTGCAACTGTAGAATTACTCTAAAGTGACAACACAGTGGTGATAGCTGCTCGTAACTTCATAATTATTGTTCCCTTTCCAATGATAATACCTTCGATTTATTCGAGTTTTAAGTAGATCTGTTTTAATTGCCTTAACCACCTCTGTTCGCTCTTTAATGACGCTTCTATGCTATTATTTTCTATGTTTTGCCGAAGTAATTGTATCAGAGTGAAAAGCGCAGTGCGCAGAGAGTAACTGCGCTCTGTTCATTTTCAAGAGACATGGTAATATATTGGAAGCGTGTTGTTTACTAAACCTCCGTACGTGAAATCCTTTCTTCATTAAACTCTGGACTCAGTTTAAAATTGCAATACCTCTCTGTTTTTCAGAGTGTCAGGCTCCACTTTCGAGTATAATATATTTTGCAACATAGTTTATAAAGCTGAGATGCGTTTTTTCAAGTACCAGCTTTGCTTTTATGGCTATTATTTCATGCATATATATATATATATATATATATATATTTCTTCAATACTGCTAGTTGAAGATCTTTCTTTATTATATGTTTTATATGTATTTTTTCTTATACGCATTTCTCTTACATTATTTCAATTCATCGTAGTGTGTGTTCTTCAGCGGTTTTACGTACGGTACCTAAGCCGTTCAGACAGCTGGCTTCCAACACAGTAAAATACAATACAGCTTTAAATTTAGCTTCTAATGTTTCTACCAGAGCCTCACTATCTACTAATCTTAACCTCCTTCCACTCCTTTTCTATTGTTGGAAACCTACACCATTGTTTTAGCAATATTATTTTGTCTACCTCATTTTTCTTTGACTAATTCGAATTTTTTCTTGTATCTCCTCTAATACCGCAATTCGTCTAGTCTACTAGCTTAATTTGTTTAAATTTAAAGTTCTCATAACACACTGGATTGCGTAATCTATTAGCAGTCCGTTACCCCAGTTCAATTCGGTGTTAAAGGTCTTTGCGCGGTAGTTACTGAGCAGGAGCGTATATTTATTCGGTCTATCAATAATTAACGTATCTAATAACACACTTTACTCGGACCGTTTGCAACCATATTAACGTTGTCTTACAAAGATAACGAGAATATTTATTTTAATTATATACATTTCGAAAAAAAAAAAGCCTGATTTGATCAAAAGAATCAGATTTGATTTAAAAAGTGCATAATTTTATCTTAGAAGTATCCGGCCTAATTTCAAAAGTACCGTATTTTAAGCTAAAACGGCATAACTTTGCACATACCCTGTAAGTTCGATAATAATATAATAAAAAAATATTGCATAGGTTAGGCCTGCCAGTGACCAGCCAATTTCGCGCTTCTGTTTTTCGAAGTAAGTTATTCTAGTTAGCTCTGAGAAGAAAGGTAGTTTTGAGAAGCAAATATAATGTGTTTCTGATCTCTTCTATGTTTAAATATTGCTTACAATATTCTCTAAGTTATGCATTTTTGAGCGGCATTATTAGAGAGAAACTTACGTTTTCTAGCCAAAATATTTCGGTGGATTGAGCTCTAAAACTACTTTAAAAAGATTGAGCCTTCTCTTTATAAAGGGATCAAAACTGGAGATCTTCAAGTCTAGAAAAGCTTTATTCTTACGTCGTGTAGACCACTCTTCGATCAAAGAAGCCCATTTCAAACAATGTTGGATCTTATCAAGTCACAGTGCGTTTCGCGCTGAGTAAGTAAGTAAGTACCGAAATGAGCTGCCCAGCTTAAAATGTTGTAAACATATGAATTTCTCGGACTGGAAAGTTGCTGTCGTACGTCTATTTCTCACACGTTCAATTTCCAGACGCTGTTTGTTACAAGGTGGCATGTTAGTTTCCTCGTAGGTTGGGCATTACAACAGATCAAAAAGTGAAATAATGAAAAAAACATTGTGATATAAGTGTGATAAGGTGCGCCCTCATGCTTTTCAAATGAACCTTTCACATTGGTGCTTCGTGAAAGACAACGATGTACGCCTAAACATCTATAGTTTTTATATAAAAATAACATACTGATACCTGTTTCTGAATTTCTGTTGTTTATTCAAAGGAAAAGAAACTTTTATCTATCGATTTCTTTACACAACCTATTTCAATGCGACACGATAATGTAGAATCACAATTGAAAGCTTTTAATAAAAAAAAAAAAAGTATTACGTGTTACAATACCTTACTGAACCATGTCTATTATTTTCCTAGAGGCTGTTTTTTTGCGTAGCTAACGCTTTCACGTTTTAAATAAATGCTAAGACTAGAAGAATCAAACTATATAGAGAGTATATGAAGCACAATCACGAACGTACAGGCTCGAAACGGACTAGCCTTCTAAAGCAGTTTACCTTATTCAGATTGACTGAGAATTGGTAATATTATTGCATTTAACATATGTAATAAGAAGCCGTTTATTTACACAAATCATTTCCATTAGCAAAATGTAAAAAGGCTGTATTCCGCCGCCTTTAGCACTGATTTCTAACAGATTCGCAGATTTTTCCAATCTTCCAGTAATATAATATACCTGTTTATAGAGAGCCGGTCAATGGTTGCCTGAGATATCAAACAGAGCGGACAAGCTGGATTACCCTGCATGAAGCGAAACAAGGTATTGACATGACAATGTCGACTCGTTCACATGCTGTCGGGGAAACCACAAAATGTAAATCTCCATTACTCTAGCGCAGATACTCCAAATGATACTCAACATACTGTTGATAGTGGTGCTCTATTGATTCATGAGCTTAACAAACGTTTGGTTTGGTACTGTGGAGCTAATCTTTCTGAATTCTATTACTATAGACCTTATTTTTAAAATATCTCGTCAAGAAACAGTGGATTGGCTTCAAGTCTAGGTAACGGACTGGCTATTTTATAGGACCGCTTTATCTGGGCCCACCCGTTTCTGACATATAACGATAGTGAAGCGCGGATGCTCCGTGCTGTTCGATGATCCTTGCAAAGTGTCATAAAACATTGGTCCGAATCGTTTGCTTCTAATTCCACACTGAACTGTTACTCCTGCTCTATTTACATAGTATTCTCGCATAACATGCGGGTTTCCAGTTGCCCCGTAGGTGCAATAATACATTTTAATTATGCCCTTTACTTTGAATACAGCTTTAACGCTTCAATCTTCTTTGAAAACCAGATTGTTATCCTGTTCGTCACGGAGCATCTTGATTGCTAGCATAGACCATTGTTAAAATATAACTTTTCCATCTAGAATGTATTAAAAAAAGTGATGATTGCTCGATATGCTAATGCCAACCTTACTATTTGAGCGTCTCACGAATTTTCTAGTGTTGTCCTCTCAGTGGTGATACTCAGTGGTATTGTTGACCTTCCAGAACTTTATTTACGAATATCCTGAACAGTTTTGCCTGTTTCAAGCTTATCTTCTATCCAATTAATTGTGAGTCACCTAGATAAATCTTCCTGAAGCTCCTTTTGATATTGGCTTCGTACTTCTGCATTTCAGAGTGAAAAAATGTTGTTCAAAAGGTAACGTTCATCTACTCATTGTCTCTAATCAATCTAGCCCTGAAAATAAAAAGTAATCATGAAGTATTAAATAGAGTGTGTATATACACTATGCTTGCTATACTCACAACATTATTTGTGTTCTGTGATCTCCTAAGTCTTTACCTTCTACCCAGGGAAATCTTGACACGGGTCCGCCGCCGGCAGGACGGACGTACGACACGAACATTGAACCTTGCTTTACATCATGCGACGTATGCATTTTAATTACATTCTAATTTGATTTATTTTTATATTTTTGTTATTTCGATCGTAGAACATCGTTCACCTATAGACAGTCGAACATAAGGGAGTACGGCCAAAGGATGAATCGTGCAAGGATTAATGAGTGCAGCATACCAGCATCTGTAATACATTTGTACCACACAGGATACCTGTAAAAAAAGGCAAAAAACAACATCATGCAATGAGGTACTCTACAACGTATAATAATAGCCTATAGCAGAGACAAATAACCGAAAGCTCCTAAAAACTGTGAGAGATGTCGAAAAAAGTGCGAGGATAAAATTAAGGAGCATTTGTTGGTTATATCAAATTTATAAGTTCTACGATTTTTCATAATTCAACGCGAACTTAGATGTTCGCTGTGGAACAGAAATCCAACACAAGAATAATATAATTTGATAGATATCCGTATTTTAAGTTGACAATTTTCATATTCATACTAAGAAAGTGTAACTTAAAATTCAGTTGTTGGCCATTGTACGCGTGCCGGATAACTTGCTGTAATTCTTTCTAATTTTTAAATGCTTGAATATATGTATGATCTACAAAATATGCAAAAATAATAATATATGTTTGGCTTTTTTGAGAATTTCGTGTATGTCTAAAAATATTTTTTTTGTAATATTATAATAATAATAACACTTGTTATTTAGTACGAAATTCACAGTTAATCACTGAGAGTAATTTTAACGAAAAAAAAAACCGAATTAGATCAAACAGGTATTATGTGCCATTGTTATTCATTGGTTAAGCACGGTAGGAGGTGTCGAACGAATTAAACGCCTGCGATGATGAACGCATTTGGTACAATTAAGTTTAAGTACAGACTGAGAACACCTTAAGTAACTCTAAATAGATTTTACGGTAGTATATATACTTTGAATTAAGCTTCCTATTGAACAAGATTAATTTCAAATAGCATTTCTGTAAAGAAAATCATCGACGATACGAAAATGGTAGATAATTGAACGGATGTAACGCTAGCAACAAACGTATCGCTTTTCCTCCAAGACAAATCAAAAAAATTAAATAACTGAGTAATATTATGCCAGCTAAACTAAATTCAAGGAAATTGTAACAATGTTACATTTTCAGTCATGAGATGTAGGCCCAGTGCTTATTGGGTCAAAAAAACGATTAGTCCTAAAGATAATAGAAAAAAATAATACAAGATGAAGCAATACCATGAGTGGCCTTCTGTTTTGTGGTACCTGTCAGCTGTAGCAGCTTTTTAACAACACGATGTCTTTCTGCGTTACTAACGGAATCTTAGTGGCGAAGGCATTGCGCTGGAAAGGGCTCTCGTGAAGTCAGGGTCGTGGCGCGCCATTCGCGGATAGCCCTGCGATAGCAGATTCTGACCCCGAGCTGCGTCATAAGGAGCAATGAATGGTCTGGTGGCAGTTGACTGAGTGAACGCTAATAATCAGAAACTGGTTTATATGAACGACGCGAAAAAGTTGCGCAACATTATTAAGTTATGTGCAGTATTCATGAAGTGTACTGCTTACGATAGTAGCGCAATATGTACAGTGGAAATTGTTAGCCAAAAATCTTTGTTGCAGTAAACCCTAAATCGAAAGAGAATCTTTTCGCCTCTATTACAATAACCATTTACACCGTGCAATCTGTGATGGCCGAAGACGTTGGTAGCATTTTACCGATTTCCGAAGCATCCCATGAAGATGTCTACGATTTCGCCTATGCCGATGGACTAACATTTCCGTCAGTGTTAACGCCCTTCCATTGGTCGTCACTTTTGCCGATGCTCGTAGGTGCACTGCTTCTTACGATTTGGATTGTGCATAAAACAACCCAGTTCTACTTCGTTGAGGAGTGCTTTAAAATCCTTTGCACTTCAGACTCTGCTGCGCAAATCAAGACCAAAAAAACGAAAAACCTTCCTTCAGTGCCAGTGACTATTCTACAGCCAGTGTTAATGCCTCCAAAGGACACCGTGATCACCATTAAACTATGATAGTTTGAGTAATGTGAACGGCGTACAAAGACTGAGAATTAAACAAAACTGATGAGGTTTTAGCGGGGAAAAAAATGTAGAAACGTTGTAAACATATAATTGCCTGCCAGTATATATTTTAAGCACAAAATATGAAAAGCGTTATGAAGAGGTTTCTGTTAGCGAAGGCTTTGATTTTGACAGCGCATTTTCTATCCATTTGGTTGGTTTCCATCCAACCATAGTTTATATTATTTCTTTTGCAATGGTCATATGGAAAAATGGTTTTAGTTATTGCTAGCATGGTTCGATTTTGTTCGTTTACGGTTACATCGTCAGTCGAGTCAGAGGGTGCCATTACTGTCGAAACGTACGTCCATGATCAATTGGTCTGTATAGCACATATGTTGAATTATATTTCATTATATTTTTTAATTTAGGACTTGCAATACCAGAAGTGAATGCTGCACCACTTTTAGAGACAATTTTGTTATTATGTGGGTTTCGAAACGGGTAAACAAGCTGGCAAAAAGCTTATACAACAGTTCACCATGCTTCGGGCCAATTAAGTATATATAAAAGTAAAAAAAAAACACATTTATATTACATAGGGAAAAAGTCATACGAATTTTAACGAACGGATTGTCATCTGAGTGCACTCCAATATTCGAAGGTCTGTCATCTGGCTTTTACGAGTCTATAGATATATTATATAGATCAGAACCTGTTGTTCTTTTTACCAACTTCTCTGCGTATTCAGTGTACTATTCGTTTTATTGATATTTTTAATTTTTTTAAATATCGGCATATATTAAAACGTCAAGAAGCTTAACGGTAAAATATTTATGTCATTACTTGTCAATTTTTCTATATCATTCTGATATGTAAGTTCCCTAAACTTAAATTCGGTTCTTTTCATGCACTCGCATAGGCTGCTTGAACGAGATCGTACCACTGAATATCTGAACAAAGCGACACCAAGTTCGAGCGAAAAGACAAAATATTTTATGTATAGACATTGTACTTATTTATTTTGACAGTATTTCATAATTGGCGTGCTCTTATTATAGCTTGTGGACGAAATAAAGAAACACCACAACGTTTCGTCAGAGTCCTGTCAAGCCAATGCAAACGAAGAACTACTGAATAAAAAAAAGGCCGTGCAGTGAACGCTTGTCCGTAAATATTAATAGATTCTAACACCGATGTCAAGATGGGACCTATGACGTGTTTATAGCAGTGACCGACTAACAAATCCAGTCACAATTCTTTGGCCCGCGTAGCAGTCGCGGCGCAAAACAAATGCGACCTTCTAATCAAAAGTTATTTGCTTCAGGCACATTTTTAATTGTGTATGATAGCACCATTATCAAGTACCTATACACAGATATTGTTGGCGCCAGGATGTGATTGCGTCACTTGTGGCAGCGATTTCAACGTAATTACCTTAATGAGTCACGTTTGAATGACGCGCTTACTCGCTAAGGCGTAGTTCGTCCACGTATGGACAAACAAACGAATCGCTCTTTGTCAGTTATTAAGAGCGACGTTTGCTTCAACGGCACACGCAGTGACAAAATTAAGTATAAGAGTTTTCGGCGTCAATACCCTTTTTATTACACTGATAATTTTGGCAGGTGGAAGCGAAGCGTAACTCTCTGAGACTCTATCAAATCCACCGACGGTCAGAACGACATTATATTTCATTGAGGAAGATTTTTCACTTATTTGAGCAAGGTACTCGTAGGAAACACAGTTACAAAAGCTCTGAACTGTCAACAAACTTGCAGGTTAGTTCTGTCGGCATCATGCAATAGACCAAATATTGATACATAGCATAACTTAGTCATTCCTCCGATAGGAATTGATTTGGTAACTTGCATAGCGTTGTAAATTGCAGCATTTCTGTGTTATAACAGATTGTTACCATTTTTGCTCAAGACTGCGCTCTTCATCGTCTACAGGGAATATTCCATGGTCTTAAATTTAATTGCACTGACTGAGCCAAGTGTGGCTTACTTCACGTTGGGACATTTCGGCAAAGTATTTCCTAAAATTTTCTATCATAATATATCAAGTCGACGTCAAATTTAGATGACGTTTAGAGCTGGGTTGAGCGGCTCGGTCGCTGCTTGAATACTGTTCCCACATAGTTGCCCGACTTGATTATTAAAGGCCTTTGATTCAGAGTTCATTTCGCAACAAATTAATTGCGCAAGGTAATTTTTTTTCATTCTTCATTTTTCAATTCATTCCAGAAACGGTGATGTTTGGGTTGAGTGACAGAAAGTGTCGGCAAGCTTTCGACATACTTACTGGTATTGTTGCTTTTGATATATCTGCTATCGTTATTGATATTCCGACACTATTTTTTCTCTCTTATATATTTCTTTTATATGTAGTTTATTCTGTCCTTCAGATCGATGTCTTTCAGGTAGACTTTTTGCTCTTGAGCTAATCATTTTTAGCAAATTTGAAGTTTTTTCGGTATTTATGAGCATATTTATGACTATGGCTGCACTATATGGCTTTTCCTCTTAACTAAAATGTAAAACATGTCCATATGTTTACCTAATTTATTTTAAGCTAATCATTTCGTAAAATATTTTTCTTTTTTCAGATCTTCTATCATATATCATCATTACGAATACAAACTAGAGGAAGCAAAAAACTTTTATTAAAAAAGTTCACCAGTACCGTTTATGCTGACAAGCTATTATATAAGGCCATGATAATGAAGTCCAGCTTTTTGTCTTCGTAATTACGGATAAATTGGATTTAATTGTCATCCATTTTTACTCATATAAAAGACAAGGCCTCCGTCGTTTTTTTTTCAAAAAATTTTGTTTTCCTTGAGAGCGATAATACTCGTCAGGATCTTTCAAACGGTAGCTCATTTCTTCGTCACTACATTTGGCACGGCCAAAAAGGTCACGCAGAAAATGTTCTGCGTTACTTAGGAACTTAAAAAATAACGACGCTGCCGACCTTGTCAGTCAATTGTTGATGATACTAAAACACAGATACGGAAAAAAGCGCTATTTAAATGCCGGAAAGTTTTTTCTCCAGTTCAACCCGACATGAAGTGAGCCATTAATTTGCCATTTTGGTATATAAAAAATGATAATATAATATAATAAATAATTTTAGTCACTTATCATCACGCTCTATTAACAATGCATCGCATGCTTATATTTTAAAAATGTGCACGAGATATACAAAATGTCAGGGTTGGCTTGTTTTGGTTGTATGCGTTTTGTCACTACCTCATTCTTCTTTGCGAAATGAGTACATTAATTCTGTCTACGACTGACATTTGTGAAGGTTGTGTGAGGTTTTAGTGTTTTAAGTACAATTTTGTGTTTACTAATAGGATTTGTATAATGTTTTTTGCTTTTGGTGCTGTGTCGGCACTCGATTCAATACTGCCTCGATTCAGGGGCAGCGCTCTTTCTCATTTATCGCAGAGCCCAAGAAGACTATGCCTGTATCTATGTCTTCTCCGTTTTCGTTCTTCTTTGAGTGCTTGGAAGTTACTATCAAGTTTTTTCATCCTAAAGGATTCAGTTCACCAGCGCGTCGGTCTTATTGAGCACTCCAAATTTTCCAAATTTAAATTTCTGCCCTTTTTCCCTCAACGTATGCACTGTCCCAGTATCTGGGTCGCATAGCCACACATGCCAGCTTTGCGCGCGGTTCATGAGCCATTTGACATATGTCTTATCTTATGGAAACACATTTAGAGACGCTGTGGCTAGCGTAGATCCACGTTAAATGCTAAGTTATTTTTGTGTGCTTTAAAGTGTTTCTACTATCGCTCTTTAATTTTCGGTGTTAACTTCTTAGCTCTGGCAGCGATCCTCGTTGTGCTTACCCACTTCTGTCGAGTATATTTCGCTCAACTAGTTCTTTATAGAGTAAGCGTCTCATCGTGATATATTTCTTCTAGTTTTTCACTATGATGTCCTATAGTTCCATCGGACCCACGACGATTTCAGTAAGGATTGAAATGATTTTGGTGTACTCTGTTTATCTTTACGAAGGGTTATCCTCGTTAAAACTCCCTACTTCTTCTAGTCAATAAGTGTTATGGCTTCTCTTAGCTGGACTGCTAGCTTAAGTTGCGTGTCTGTTCATTCAATTTACTACATTGCCCGCAACCGTAGTCGTTTTATTCTCTAAGCTCGGTTCTAGTTCCGGCAATGATTACCACCACGCGACCGTCCGCATACGCTACCATATTTACTCCAGCCGGCATAAATAGTCTGAGCACTTTATCGTAGGCAAAGTCTCTCATAAGGTTTGTGGAGTAGCCTTAGGACACTCCTGCCGTGACACCGTACTAGGTGCCATCCGTCAGGAACACCCTATCTATACAAAGACGTTTGTTATAAAGAGTACAAGATTAAAGTCCAGTTTCTCGATTTGAAGACATTTTTTACTTCCAGGAGACAATTGTTTTTCTTCTAAACCCCAACAGCTTTTTGTAACCACTTTTTCGTTTCATTTCTTGATAGTCTCTGCGTGATAGGGCCTTTAAGTGCGTTAGTTATTGTGCTAAATAGCCAGCGTGGTTTATCTGAACTTGGTCGTTTTACAAGCTTATTCAGCTTCCGTATGGATATGAACCTAGCCTCTCCTCACTTTTCTAGAAAACGATTATTTTACAGAAATTTAGTTATTACTTATTGAAAGAATTTTAAGCGTTTCGTCAGGGAGTGCTTCGTAACTTTTAGCCCATTGCCTTCTCTACCGCCACTCGTTACTGTCATCCGCTAGAAAGCGTCTTCGCGCGTCAACCGGGCCTCTCTCCGGTCTCTTCTCCTAAAAAGTTGTTAAACGGTCGTGCGAATCAGTTTATTTAGGGATTTAGAGAAACGCCACCTATTTGATTTCGAACTATCCCATTTTTTTTCTTATGGTTTTGCACGATCTCCTTGTGTAAGTCGGTTCTGATTTCATAAAATTTACTGAGTTGCTATATTGTAATCCTTCCCCTAGCCCTTTTGCAAATACTTCTCACTCCACATGTTGCTTTTTCTATACACCACTTGTACCTATGTTTTCGCCTACTGCTGCGTATGGTAACCTGTACTGACAAGGCCATTCAGCATTTTCTCATTCCCTCACATTTCAATCGGAGCCTATCTTGGTTACCCTTTTGGCGAAAGCTTTGTTTTGACTCACGACCTTCCATACGTTAACCTCATAAATTAGGTTCCTGTAATCACTGAAGCTCTGTAGCTTCGATACGCTTGAACCTATATACCAGTGAGTCCGTACAAGCTGTCAGTTTGATGTTGGGTGGGCTTATGAATAAATGGGCGTAAATGGTGAACTTATGATTAACTAGAGGTCTCTTTTAAAATAAAAGACTACTACCTTTTGCAAAATCCATTTGAGCCTCCATTCCGTGGCAGCTATGTAAAAATCTCTGGCGCCCAACGCTTGGTCGTTGTCATCCAGGCTTTTCCCTGGATTATCAGAGGATCTTTCAGGCAGTAAAAGAAGCACTGCAGCTCCGCTACTTCGTTAACTCGACAAATAATACAAATGACTCTGGTGATATCCTGGACTAGGATTTTGTTACCTAGAGTTCTGGGCATTCAATTCAGGGCAGTTTAGAGTACAGTGCCTCCTGGCTTCGGCGATTCTATTCCGACTTCTTTGACCCTGTTTTTAGGAGTAGTTCCAATCCATTACAAGTCCTATCTGTTGTGATCGTGTTAACCAGGGTCTTGGTTTGTGTCCGTTTCAAGACAAGCTTCTAGGTTAGCCTTGGCGTCAGTCTTTCAGATTAGTGCTTCGTTAGACCCAACACACATTACTTTCACCAGCAAGTCCTCTCTTTAAATTCGGGATTCACCTCTTACTTACTGTGTAAGCGTCGTAGCTGATTTACGTAGGAGCGGAGAGCTTGCTTCATACAGTTCTAAATTCCGGCTCCTTTTTTTCCTCTGGTGTGATCATTATTTTCAGCGTCGCACATGCAGATCACATCCCGTCAACGGCCTTCAAAGAGACCTTTATCACCTTCGTGCCTTTACTGTGATTTAGCCCAGCTGGCAAAAGGACGATGCGCTAAAGACTCAACTGTACCCCTTGGAATTGGCCCAGATAACAATTTAGGAATTCATCGATCCCATTATTAATGCCAGTTCCAGCTTTCATTTCTCAGACTTTGATGATGATGATAATGATGATAGCAGGCCTGAGGACGCCTTGATCGAGGTTGTCTTAATGTCATTCACGAAGCCATCGTTCTTGTTCACTTGTGTTACTTTCTCTTCTAAAACGACTATGCGATATCTTAATTGGATTACGGTCAGCAGTTTTTCTTCACAAAGCTCTAAAGACAGGTAGTCCTTATTACACCTACCGACAGCTGCCTTTGGCGTATGTTCCAACCGGATTCTTTTCCATGCCAGTTCCGTTTTTGTACATGCATTGCCGCTCCTTAACTAGAGATATCACATTCCTATCAGGGACTGTCTCTGCTTCTCGTCGTACCAAAGAACAAAGGTGCATCTTCTTTCAGTGATGCTTTCAACTACTGCTGCCAGCATTTTTACCAAAGTAGAAATGCTGGTAGCAGAATATGCAGCTGACCGTTTTTTCCGCTACTGGTGTAAACCACCGGCAGTGGCATTTTGGCGGCAGCTGCTGGCTTCTGCAACAGCTACAATCACCTCCACGATTTCAAGGTGACCGGCCGGCTGACTCGTTAGCCAGCCTGCCCTATCTGCTTTTGTCTCACCGATCGCGTAACAACTACGAATGCGGAACGTTACCACCTGTTTCATCCTTTTTTTACGTACTTGCTCTTGACCGCGCGCTTATCTAATTTTTTTCATCGAAATGCCCAGTATCTTTTTAGCCGCGGGAATACCTGTATTTCCTCTTGCGGCAAGATCTGCGGGCCAACTTGTGAACCAGATCGTAGGAGACTTCTTTTTCCTAACCTAACTAAATACGGAGTTTTTGATAAGCGCTTATTGCAGACAGAAACGCAGAAGGGCGATATGGCAAATGAGTGAGGCACAAATTTCCGCGCAGAGCAAAACTTTCTGCATTTGACATGTTACCTGCGTATTAATTTTATGTCACATTACTTTTTTTTTATATGCCAACCGACCGTTAAATAAAACGTGTTTGCGTAAATAGTAAACTGTCTATTTCAGAAAGATTTATTTACATTCTCCATTTAATGGTATCCAAAATAATATAGTATTTACCAAATGATCGTTAGCCAGTTTATGCGATATTGGGTTTCCGCTCAAAACCTTCGCACACCGTTGCCTCGTTGCGACTTTAATGACGTCTGTTTTTTCAGACGCCTACTTTCCTCTTTGACCGTTCCAAGGCGCTGAAAGTGAAAATTGCATGCGATCAATGATAAGTTTGTGACAAGTAAAACTAGCTTGGCTAAAATGTAGATAAATAATAGCTGGGAAACAGATAAAATGCACACCAAAGTGGACTATGTATTATGACATAGGTAGGATTGGGTAAAAAAATAATAGTCGCAGATTGGTTTATTTGTATCTTCGGTATTCGATCCCAGCTTCTCGTTACAGAACAACGAGATTGAAAATTCTAGCGAAAAACAAACTATGGAAATTTTTTACACACAAATAGCACAAATAATCTGACTACATTATTATAAATACGGTCCCATTTGAATGAAATTTATGTTGAAGAAAATATAATAGAAATCGACAAGTCCCTATGGATGTAATAAGATTGTCGATTTACGAAACATATTCTCTGACAAGAATGAAAGAACGCATTTTCACAGTTGTTAAAGCTAAATTTCGGCTGTGTGTGTTTGTACATAAAGATAACTCGAATACTTCACTTCGGGTCACTAAGGTGACTTCAGTAAACGCGTCTCATATTCATATGGCGTTGTCACGCACTTTCCTAGAACGAGTTTGCTTCATGTTAATTGTTTGTCAACGTTTTTTTCTATCGGGAACGAACTTCTGCAACGAAAAGAAAATGCTTCTTCAGATATTGTATTGCCGCTTTTCTAGATGTTAGAATCGTTTTTATTTAATCTAAGGAATACACACAAATTGACCAGATGCTTCATCCCACTGGGACTCATGTTTGTTGCATGGCCTTTGGGTCAACTAACACCCCAGTATACTTATGTCAATCGCTATTTCATTCCAGTAACCGTATTAACACAAATAAACAGTTACCGTTTGCCAACCGTGGTCATCCCAGTATACTTCGTTTTCCTTGTTTATGCACGTGTGAGAGTTAAGGGCCGCGTGGGGTTGGCGGCTAACATGAACTCTTTCAAATGTGTTGTCATGGCAGTTATGCCTGCGATCATAGCTAGTTCAAATAGTAGAGCTGCCAAGAAAAAGAGTTAGATCAAAAAGCTGAGGCCTGTTATCGTTCGTTCGTCTCGGAGTAAACAACATATTTTAGATTAAGTAAGAGCAGAGTATAGAGGGTAGCGAAACAGTGAAAACTGACAAAGGATTTAGGCGATTTTTAATACGAGTGCGAGAAACGAGCTGTCTAACAATTTTATTTCTTTAGATACAGCATCCTCTATGCGTTAGTTTTTAACGAGTCTATATTTATTTATTCTGGCTTGTTGGCTCAAGATAGATTTGTGGTCCATTTTTTAGCGTTAGCTTTAGATCTTATAATAATTTTTCTACGAACGAAAACTTGTGCTACAATAGAGTCTAATCCCTGCTGGGCCATGAAGACCAATTAGATACATTGTGCCTAGACAATGTAACGATAATCAGACGTCACTGCGGAAGAAATAATTCAGATAACTAAAAAAAAACGCTGAAGCTCAAAAGGGAATACAAAACCTCGTAGTTGTGAGTTCGGGCGTTTTTTCGAAAATGATACTTCACGTTGAGAACGTTAATTCAAAAAACAAAGCAATCAAAGCAACGGTTTTCATTTTTGAAAGATAAAATTGCCGCACACCTAGTGTATGAGTCTTTTGAGAATCACCAAACGCGCGACTTAAAAGTAGTTTACATCCTTTAAGAAAGGAGTTTTTAAGGCTCACGAGTCATGAGCGACTTAAAACGGCCTGTCAAATCGGCGACAACGATCCTTGTGAAAGCGAACCAACATTATACTCTGCAGTAATTCAAATCTATTTTCGTTATTAATCAGAAATCGATCAGGTCCATCTGTATATCGAAGGATACATCGAGCGCTTCACAGACATAACTATCTCCGGAGCAATGGCTATTTGCGTTAAGACAATTTCTAGAAAATAACGTAACTTCACTTTATTTGCATATCGCTGACATTACAGATGCAAAATAGATACTTGACAAAAAGAGTAGCTCGAGCATTTTGACACTAGCCTCTTAAGGCCGCGCGGTTATTCCGTTTATCTGGTAAGTAACGACCAAATGACTATCGCGCAACAAAGCGTCAATAGATAGATTCCTGAATAATAAAATTCAAAGATATGTGAACACTTGGCGCACACTTACATAGTGGGTATACTATATGTATACATAGATATACAACAATGTCATACTTCGGGAACTGGTTAAAAATGTTTTTGAAAAAAAAAAAGCTAGTTTTAGGAAAGCTGTTGAAGCAAACAAAAATGTATAACATCAAAATAACGAACGCAACAGGGAAATATCGAGCCAGTCATAACGCAGCGTGTATAAAGGATCAGGCAGTGCTTCCTTTGCACGTTTAATAAAGTGAAAATAATGCACAGTGATGCTTCAAAGGATTTTCACAGAAGGACATTTTTCGATTCTAATCCGGCGTCACCATTTAACTTGCATCGACACAGATTCTTCATTGTCAAAGTTAGTTCGCAGTTATTTACTTGATCAAGCAGTAGTTATTAAGTGAATCAGGTCTCATAGCCCTTGATGGTGCTTCAGAACATCGCGTAGGTCATCGGTACGAATTTACGTTTTTAGATACATAGGTGATGTTAAATTAAGGGTGCGAAACACGATCGTTGTCAGCTATTGATGGGAAGCTATCTATTTATAGACAACTAAGAATCATCATGTCACGAAAAGCGTAAATAATATGATATACACAAAAACAAAATTATGTATACATACGGAGCGAATACTCGTGGTATCTGCTAATATTTCACAATTGCACCACATTCGTTAGTTTGGTGTACTTTCCCTTGCCTAGCTCTATCTAGCCTGCTCTTCACATAAACAAATAAATTTCTTCGATGCTTTTGCGATAGCCTTTGTCTGAAGTACAAAGATCGTATTTAAGTCAATGGCCTCTGGATAAATAACGCATAGAAGCGCACTGCGAGAAACTGTCTCCACATCTTTTAAATTACTTTTACGTTTTTAACAGTCAAGGATTTTATATACACTCGAATTACACGACTTCAGTCAGACGAAAAAACACTAAAAGAAAAAAAAGAGCTAATAGGCGCTAAAAATTTATCTCCGTTAAAGTTAGCATCTACTACTAGCAAGCAGGAAGAACAAACAGGGCGTCCGCTGGAGTATGGATCAACGCAGGAATCTCACGCCAATACCCCCTAATGATATCACAACTAAAAGAAGCGATTTATACATTTATGAAACCAGCGCAATGGAAATTATGGGACCCGTTACAAACGTAGCGCACCTATGCGTAGACAGACGATGTCCCGGATGGGTAGATCATAACTGAAAAGGCTCCCGCATCATCAACGTCCACCATCACTTTAATATCGTCGGTGTATATTAAAGCTCAACGCATGGCTGGCATAAACGTTTCATATCATAACCATGAGAAGCATTAAAAAGTCATTAATGACGATTCTTTGAAGACACCTCCATAGAAACTAGCTTTTTTTAAAAACGGAAAATGGTTCCCACGACGTTGTTTTAAAGGCACTTCGGTATTCGGTGTGAACGACATCTACTAAAATACTGGAATTATCCTGCTTTCAACAGACATGACAAAATGGAGGCAGGCATCAGTCATCGAGTGGCTTCTTCAATACGCCCATTGTCCTCCGACTATCAATTGTCGTTTCTCTGTATTACGTGTTACAGCGCCACATAGATTCTATTAAAAGAGTCACAGCTGATTGCAACTAACGATACGGAATCGGAGCTATCCGGACTATATTTATGGCAATCGCGTTTTTACAAGGAGCGCTGAATGCTCAGACTAAGTAAAACGGTGAGACCCACTGCAGACTTACAAGAAAAAGAGTTTCTGTCTTATTGATTAGATACTACGTCCTCAGAGAAAGTGAAGCGTTTAAGCATACAGATATCGTTAACGCTCCCAGCAATGAAGTGCTTGTTGTGCGGGGTGACCCTGTTGTTTCACACGCGTCGCAAAACGGGCTTGCCCTTTCGGTATCGTTAGTCAGTTTAAAGCCGCCTTTACTCTCGAATACAGTGAGGTTATCGCATGAAGTTCTAACAATGCATACCCGCTAAACCTGACATTTTCTCAGAATACACACAGTCGAATACCTTGGCTAATTCATAGTACAACATCTTTGCTCCAAATGTATCCATCTTATTATATAGCTTCATTTTTTTGTGGAGACATTTTCAATTGACTTCTTCTTGCAGACCGCTGCATGTTCACTTCAATAACGATTTATTTAATGAATGCGGTAAACTTCACTTTATGCATGGTTATTTGTCAGTACATTTTGTGTATTTAAAGAACTTCTAAAATAGAGTGGAAAGTGGAAGGTTCAGAGAAAAGTTAGTCCCGGCAAATAATCAATAGATCAAATAATCGGATTCCCTTCCCTATGTATCAAATGAGGATGCCTAGATATACGGAACGAACTGAGCTACACATACTTTTTCATTAGCTAATTTATTGGACAGATAAGATGTAAGATGTCTTCATTAGACGGTCTTTTGAACCAAATACCTTTTTCTTAATTTCATTTGCTTCTAGCTGAGACATGGACAATTCATATTGCCTGTAATGAGCGATCTTTGTCAGTGCAGCTTCTACATTACGACGAATACGTAAGCATCTAGAACGTTTATGCACACAACTGGTTTTGCATTGAGCACGCCCGATCATAGTAGCACATAATGTATTTGGTCGTAAGTATTAGCAATATCACGTGACCCTAGATCCTTCTTCAGAACAAGACGTATTTATACGGAAGAGTTCGGAGTCCGTTATTTCTAAAATTAACTAGGTCTCTGTTACACAGATGATACTGATGTCACGTAAAGTGGCAAACAAGAACAAGTTATACATTAAAAAAAAAAAAAAAAAAAAAGATTAAAAGCTCATAGATAAGTAATTTAAACTACGACAGTCAAAATAAATCCCGCAAACCTTCAGTCGGCGGCCAACCCAGTATTCAATCACTGAACCTTTTGCACGTGTGTTGGCAACCTTTTCAAGACAGTGTTCCAGTACTTTGAAGTAGAACAACAAATTTGGGTGGGCACTGGGCTAGAATGGTGCATGTCTGTCTATTTTTGTCTTCAAGTGGTCTGTCTTATTGATATCAGCGCAATTCCGCATGTCCACTTCATTAAAGTTAAGTGGTACATTTTTCACAGACGCCCTTTTGTTAGCTTAGACAAAGACATGTCTTCTATTTTATTAAAAGTTTATTTTATATTTAATATTGTGATGTCTATTTACTTTCTGAACGGTATTGCTGATGTAGTTTTTTAAATTAATATACATTCTTGTTATTATTATGTCTATAGTTTTGTTATTTTTGTCTTCAATTATTGATTCTAAGAATGTGTGAGTGTATGAAAAGTCTAGATCTTTTGGGTCTGTATTTCGGAAATCTTACATAGTTCAAGTTCGCATTTTTTTAATTTATTTAATTTTTGTTTTTATATTGAAATTATTATTATTTGCGGGCACCGATAGCTTTTTTTATTTTGATTTCTTTTTATAAGAATTTTTATGGTAATTATTCGTTTGCTCATCAGGTTACTAACTTAAAAGAGGCTATTTTCAGTATCAACTTGTCCAGCAGAAGGAATTTTGGCATATTTTTACGAAGTCTGTCGATTAGGTAAGCTGTTGACAATGAAATGTTCTAGCTTAGCAATTAGAAGTGAATTTGGCAATGCCAAGCGGGATGAAAAATGAAAGCAAATCTTATTTTTTTTTATAGTATTTTTTGCAAATACTAGAGGACTATATATATAACCTTATTCTGACCTATCGCTCATATACTCTACAAGTTAATATGAAAAGAGCTGATTCAGGTTCACAAAGATGCTTTGAAAAAAATTGAAGCCGGTATGCGCAAAAAAAATATTTGATACAGACTGATTTGAGTTCCGAGAGATCTTACCTAACCGATTATAGTTCGTGAGATCTGTTCGTACGTAGATTCTCGCTACACATTCTATTTTATCACTGGCCAAGAACAGCTTTTTTTTGGTGAAAAAAGGCCAACGTTTGTCAGTTTTTATAGGAAAAGATAGCATTGGATTTCAATAGACTATACCTTGTAAGAAAATAAAAGAATACCTTGTATAACAATAATATTGCGATTCAATATTACTGAATTGCTAAATAGATGCAGTTTGAGAAAGATGACTCTAAAATTTGGAAAACGTTTGATAGAAATGAAAACACAAACTTATTCCACCAGAAAGCCAATAGCTGTTAATTATGAGTTGCATTGCGATTTATTCATTGAAAGAGGAATTATTAATTATCTAAAATTTCTCATTTTACACCAAAAAAGCATGTCGTAGCGGACTGTGATTTCCCGATATTTATTTCAGTCAAGTTAGATGTCAACCATCGCTGAAGGCCAATGAGGAAACATCGCCTTAAGGCTGGGTAGCCTTCCCCTGGCTGGGAGTGCGCACAGATTTCTTTGACGGGGCCAGACAGGGGTAACTAATAGCAGACGATGCGCTAAGCGACTCTTTACGGTGAGCAGCTGATGATAAACAACTAATATTGTTATTCTGTCGAATGATATTGTATTTAAAAGACAACAATGTCAATAAACAGAACGCACTTTAAGATGTTTGAAGTTAGATTGCCGTTCCAACAATAGCTGTTCGATACCGTAATAAAAATGTACGCAACTTCGTTTTCAAGCAGTACTCAGGCTGAGGTAGGTCGCCGGACATTTACAGCTTATTTTTGCTTGACCCTTGCCTATCGGTCATTAAAAAAATAACTATTCATATACCTTCGGTTACGGTAATAGTAAGAGAATATTCGCATTTGGGCAAAATTGATTGGGGCAACCCAAACACTAAAACGCAATAAATAATTCGAAGATTGAAAAACAACATATGATGGCACGTTCACAGGCAAAAAGGCAAATCGGTAGCTAATGGCATTTATTTGGACTATGCTATATAAAAATGAGTAAAATAACAGACCGTTGGAGAAGCCTATGCGTGCGTTTAAGCTAGTGAAACAATAGCCTCTAAATTATATAAGTCAGGGTTTTGTAAAATGTCGTCACGTAATCTAGGGAGTGAAGAGCATGGTCTACATAGAAAGATTTAACATTCAGCCTAAGTCCACTGCTAATGAATGCAATGCCATGACACAGGGAATGGCCTATCCCGACTGTCAGTTCAGTGCGGTAGGAATTGCATTGAATCGCATAAAACATCGATCTAAGGAGCTCCTTTAAGAAAAAAAAAGAAGCAAGAAAAAACAAACGATTCGTGTACTCGGCATTCTATTATCGACTTTATACGGAAGTCCCCAAAAATACAAGATCGCCGTTTCTCTTAGATCAAGCATCACCAAGTAAATAACATGATTATAATAGTATTTTATTTATTAATATTAAGTCCGCATTATTTGTCATTGACATTATAATCTGATATGACCGTTTCAGTATCAGATATGAGGATACAGAATCTTTGATGAAATTTCTAGGTTAGCTTATCATGCAATGGCAATTAATGTAAAGCACTAACGTAGATGTATATCACTTTGTTTCTGCGAATTACCCACAGTTCTCAAAGATCGTAGCTACCCAAGCTTTTAGCTGCAATGTGCCACGATAGAAGACAGCGCAATTTGCGTACAAACATTAGAAATCAAAGCAGATCTCGAATGTGACCACTTGACGACGCACAGATGTTTTAATATCAGAATTTCGTCAATTGGTATGCAGTTACATGGAGCCAATTCGTTGTAAATTATTGTGCCACCAATACAATTTGAACGAAGGTCAAATGGTAACGTCACTGGCTGGACTTTTACCAGTTGTTAAAGTCTTTAGCATGCTCCGTAGGTGAGATATTAATTCGGTGTGTACATGTTTAGCCATTAGACATCAAATTTGGTTTTCTTACGGGTCCTTTACGCGTTGGGTTCCATATCGTGTACTCACTTCGTCGTCCCCTTGGTGTTCTCTGAATTTTCTTGTTGGAATACTTTCGTAAAGCCATTTCATTGATGCAGCTATTCTATTTCGCTAAACAAATCACTGCGTTTTGTGTATGTCTCGCTGCTCCGTTACGCAGATCTCATTCACCCAGCGCACAGTAAGCCTAAATCCAACGCGCTTTGTGGTTTTCCAAAAACTACGCGACTTGTCGTATTTCTTGTCGTATCTTTCTAATCTAACGGCACTTAGCATCACTTAGCTTTTTATCATAAGCCGATTAACTATCAGCGGGTTTCATAGCTATATATAAATAATTAATAAGAGTAATAATGTCCGGCGGAATAGAGGAAGCGATGGCGTCATGGGCCTGGAATCGGACGGTGTCCAATTCTAATTCAGTTAGACACATGCAACTCAATGCGATCCTCTACTTACGAACTCGTTAGTAAGGTGACTCATAAAAAATTCAAACGCAAATAATCTAAATGACACATACCTCCAATAATATGCACATCTCGCTGGTATCGTTCAAATCATGTTGTAGGGCCTGAAGGTTGTTGATCGCATAGATCAGTTTCTGCCGTAGATCGATCTGTTCTTTCAGTTCGGCAACTAAGGCCGCTTCCTCAGATTCGCGCTGGGACGTCGCCTCTTCGTAGAGCTGAGAAATTTGGAAGCAAAACAATTTTTGCTATGCCTGTAGTAGTTTACTTCAGCCGTTTTTCTAAACTGTTCCGCTCGATTTCTCTAAATTAATTTACATGCGTGCTATTCCAGTGTATTGATATTATTTCTATTAGTTCCAAGCGCATAGTCCTGTTCAATACAAACAGACAACGTAGTTTATTAGTTTAGCAATATATGAAAAGGGAGACTAGAGGGAGAATAAGCTAGGAAAATGACTTGTCATCAACATTGTTTTAAAATTTCAGCTCTACAGTCCTATCAGTAGCGCCTTCTAAAAATCAACAAAGAGAAAGTATCGCGATAAGGAAAGATAGACTTGAAAATTCTCACAAAAAATACAGGCCACAAATGTTTCGAACTCGCTCGATTTCTATCTATAATCAGCGAATAACTGACTTTCAATAAAAATTAGTTTCGCACATCCTGACTAGGGTAGATGTCCACGTGACAGCTATCCTAAAACAAAAGAACATCACAAGCAAACCGTCCCCCCTATTCCCTTTGCCCTTCGCCACCCAGTCTGATGCAGAAACAACGTAAGCTTTTCTTCTTTCAATATTATGTTAAAAAAAAACCCTGATAAAATCAAAGGACGGAGAAATTTAGTTGACGCCATTTATTCTACCCACGATCTGGTCATATAGATTTCAAGCCTTAGCCATCATAGGTCTGGGACCAGTTCTAATGCCGAAGTCAGGTTCGAAAAAGTTTCTCTTTTGCGATAGTCTTTTCAAAGCAACAGAAGTGGTTGTGATAATTGCAATCAACAAAAGCAGGTGGATCGCGACCAAGATACTCGATACTAGGCGGTAACCTGTCGTAAACATCAGCTGATACTCGTACTTGAGATTCTCAAGACCGACTGCTTTCACTGGCTGCATCTCAGAGAGATGAGGGCTTGGGAACCTAACTTAACCTAAAATAAGAGGTTTGCCGAAATTGACACGAACTTGTCCTTGTACGACTTCATATGGCTGTGCATTGCCGTGCAGTACGATGACCCTGTTTATTGGACATTTCCGGTTCGATAGCTTCATTAGTCGACGTATTTGCGCCATATGCAAAATCTCTCTTAACCGTCTTTTTTTTTCAAAGATTGGTAAGTAAATGAGATCCTTCCGGGACCATCAAACGCACATATTACGCGTGGGGATCAAGTAAATTTCAGGGTTTAGTCTACCAAAGTGGTATCCACGGACGGCCCCTAACATTTCTTTACAAAACATTAGACACGAGGCGGAACCCATTCTCCCATGTATTCCTTCTTTTTTAAGCTTTCAGGAAACGTTGGATGTTTATCGTCATTAGCCCCTTAGCAGATGACGAGCGTCATTAACTTTACAATCTAGCAGGTCGTGGAGCTCATTTTCTCTGAGAGAGATTGAGAATTGAAAAGTTTAGGACTAAACGAAACGGCACTATATAAACCTTTGGTGCTGCATGATGTCATATTGTTATTTCGCGAATTGTATTAATAAGCCGCTAAGTACCTTATTAGAATAGAGCTCAACTCATAGCACCGTGCCATTTTGTCGGTTTAATTGTGTGTATCGCATTGAGCCGGAAGTAATTTCATTGAGAGAACCTTTTATCTGGGTATGTGCTGCTTGCGGCTTGTTTTTTCCGTGCTTGAATAAGGTTCCTGCGTACATTTCCAATAAATGGTATGCTCTAATCGCGACACGTCAAGTTCTATCGGATGAACCGCATTGGGTTAAAATTGGGTATAATAATGTCAAGTCAGATTGCTGACTATATTTATTTTCGGTCTGATAACCCTAATTTCTTATAAACTTTTCTGACGTTCACAGTGATCCATATCTCTCCAGGTATTTCATACGCTTGTGTAGTTGTTTAATCTCATTAGTTATGGCGAATGCGCTGATGAAAGCTGGAAATACTGTGTGCTTTTAAAAGTAATTAACTTCAATTGTTATTTTATTGCAGGTTAGAGAAAGTCAATTCTTTAAACGTAAAGTAAATACTCGCTATTTAACTATTATTTTGCGAATGTTTGTCGAGAATGAAAGAGGTTTGAGATATCATTTGTCTGCAAACTCAAGGCCCATCTGCTGCTGCTTGTGAATTGTCAGTCGTTCGTTTGTGGTATCATTTTATTCTCTATCGAATGGGAGTCAGAAACCCGTTCCATTACATATATATCACAATTATTTTGTTAAACAAAAATTTCTCAGCGATTTAGACTGCTTGTTTCTAATTAATAGTTACTTAGAAATACGTTTATCTTAGAACTTTAATTATCTGAATGTTTTATCATGAAAACTTTCTAAAAAACACCTTCTCGTTTTGCTAAAAAACGATTGTTGAATATCTAAATTTTTAATAATTTTTCAACTAACTTTCAGAAACTACAATAAATATAGAATCAACATCCTAATACGTACCGTTATTCCTCTTTCATTAAGAATAGAAAAAAGCTGTCAAATACACTATTATTAGAGCCAGGTATTAGCTAAACAACGCAAAAAGAACTCTCAAATCAGTCCATGAATAATAAGTCTAGGAAAAAGATTTTTTGCAAACTGTTTGTTTGATATTTTGGTTGAATGGAATGGCTCTCAAGGATCTTTCCGCAGAAAAAAAAACAAGTTGTGTAGACTTTAAAGACGCTAGTGTAAATATTTAAGGCACCTATTTTTTTATCGAAGGAGCCAACTATTACATGCAGATCATATATTAAGCGCAAATTATGCTCTCACATTTTCTCATGGGTCCTACCGTTTTCGAGATAAATGGCAAAATCGATTCCGTAAGCACCTCGTATAAATTAAAGTTACTGATCTATCTCCCTTCGTTTTTAGTTCATCAACAATAATATGATATCCAAACCAAGATTTTAACGTTACAGGCACTCCTTTTAGCCAAGCTTAATACGCGTCACACAATATGACCCTGTCTATTTTCCAGGATTTGTTAACCATGTATTCGCTCAAAGCTTTCGATACACTGACTAATGCCTTTGTGAGAAAAGACGGAATGTTCTAGTTGAGAATAAAACATTATATATTTTAGCGGGTAGATGTGTCGACGGAGTTGTGTGAAGTAAGGGCTTTGGGGGATTAGTTAATTTTATGGCAGGATGTAAACGTATGATAGTCTAGCGAGTTGGACAATTAAGGCGTATCGTCCGAAAGCGATGATGAATCGAAGTATTCGGTTGTAATGGCATTTCTCCCGTAAAAACTGAGTGCTCTTAGCACCAATACCTCCATAATGGGCAATATTGGCTGAGACACGATGCGTATCATATATGTGATGAGTAGAGAGCGCAATGACGTTCATACTGGATATACGTATGTGCGAGCTGGGCTGCTGAAATACAAACGATTCAAAAAGGATAGAATTCGGTACCTCAAGATCGCGGATCTGGAGTCCTGAGCACCTCGTGATTCCAGTTAGGTTTGTTAGTAATTTAGAAGTTGACTATATAACGGCTATATAGAAGAGCATAAAAGGCACTGTATGGAACAGTGGTGTAGACAGGATGATAAAAGTTGCACGAGCGTATGAAGAGAGATTTAGAAAAAAAAAACTCACCCTTTTGTAATAATTTTCCGTTGTAAGATCTTCACCTGATAGATCGTCTCGTTCAGGTTTCTGAAATATAGCGAACGCAACATTATTAACTGCGAGCGGATTTTGATAAAGGTCAAGGAAGTTTTTAATGGAGAGTGAGTCAAATAAAATTTTGACAATTCAACAGTGTGGATATTGGGTTTCGACATATGATCTGAAGTATTACTGTGAATGACATTGCTTGCGATCGTTTTTGAATCAGAATGAGATGGGGGTGCTCTGCGCAGAGTTCAATGTACAGCACTATTGAGTGTTTAGATTATTAACGTTAATTCAGAGCTTTTTGTAGCGAAACTGTAGAACAAGACTTGCCATTGTCTTTTGCAGAGAAGGTTTCTCTTAAAAGAATGACTCTTGAAAAATTTTAATGCCAAGCTTAGTGTTACATATTTTCGTTACTCTTAGCAAAATCTCTTATGGGAGGAACTACGAACTCGAAGCGTAAAAGCATTTATTTGAGACATATTAATTAACAGCGAAGTAACTCGTCAACACAGATCTTGGGTCTGTCAGTCCTCATAGGCTTGAAACTAGGGAAGACATATACTCTAAGCAGGTTGGGGCAAATGGTCTAGGTCCAAATCGCATTTGTAAAATCAAATCGTGTTTACCAGCTTTTGCTATAGGCAAGCAAAACTTATTTCTGGGAAAGCTGATCGTTATCTACGCTACTGGAGAAATATGGTCTCCAAAAGGTAATTTATATTTGAGCGTTTTAGTAAATCTAGCAAAATTTTTCCAGGCAGTTTTCAAAGCAATACCGAAAGATAGTGTTAAAGATTTGTCGAAAGGGGGAACTGCTAATGGTCAGTTCGCAGCCACTCGTCCCTTAGATAAACCACTACAGATTAAGGTTGAGTTATTGCGGAAAGCTTTGCGACTAATATTGTTTGCAAAATGTAACTTAAAATTACATGCATTTTGGAATGCCTTTAGCATGAAAATTAGTGTGAATGTGGCCTGATTAGAAAACACGTGCGTAATAAGATTTCCTATAAGCAGATGCACGCAGGTTTTGACTCACACTAGTCCTTTTAAGAATCATACACACATAAACACACAGACACATACACACACATAAAAGAACGAAAGAATGTTGAGCTCAGGCCTTGCATAACCGATGTCACCAGGTAATTACATATCGAAACATTAAGTAAACCGAAAACTCTTTTAGTATGGCTTAAGTACAACTTTCGAAACATTTTGCTGTGATGGACGAGCATTGTTGTATACTGCATACAGTAATATGCAAGATATCATAATAAATAATAGGCTAAATATTATACCTAGAGGGCCTGGAGCTGTATAGCTTATTGATGAAGAAGTACGTGGAAAATATCTTTAAGGTTGTACCGATGCGACATTTTACGACATCGTTTTTTGGTGTTAGAAATGCATGTTTTGAAACTAGAGACCGTTCATTAAGGAATAGGTACTCGGATTTTTAGCGAGCAAATTGTAGAGAGCCATGGAGAATAAAAAAATCGAATAGTTTTCACTTAGAACTGCAGAGGTGAAGACATCTCGCCGTATAAAGCTTGTATTCGATGAAAGTTCTATGACTAGAGACATGGCGAACCGCTGGTTCGAAGAGTTTAGAAAAATACATTTCGAACTCGAAGGTAAGTCTCATGATAAACTGCCACTTATGAAGCAAAACTAATAAAAAATTAAGAGCTATAAAAGTATTAACAGTTAGATTTGATCTATGTAAAAACTCCCTACGCATTTATCTCGGTCGAATTAATAAGGAACAGGAATTGGACAAAAGGGGTGCTGCATGATTTAAGCGAAAATCAAAAACAGACGTGTACATTTATTCTTGTCTTCTTATAACAGTGACCCATCCTTGCACCGAATTATGACTTATAATGAGAAGTAGATCCGTTGCGATAACTGCAAACGGTTACGCCAGTGGGTAGATGCAACTGAATCAGCGAGACATTATCACCTAAAGCAAATGTGCCACTTATGGTACCTATTTGATGATATAATGTAGGTTTATAAGTCCTGGTTCGTCGCCTACTCTCAGCCATTGACGATAACTAAATATTTGCCCTGGTCCAAATTGACCAGTTCTGAAAAATCCAAGCAAATTCAATTGGAATAAACCGAATGGTTCTCAAAAAGTTCCAGATAAGGGTTAAAAAGATTCCATTAAAAACATTTCTGATAAATCTGAATTCATCGAGTATTTTCACTTTCCAAAGTTTCGTCTAATAGAAGTTCCTTGCGCCTTCCTGCACCTTGTCGACTTTGAACAATTGTGAGTTTGGGACCTTTAGCCTAAAACTTAATTTCGCTGGACACGTACTATTATAAACATACTCTAAAGGAGGATTATTTTGAAAATGCGCAATGAGTTGTTTAGATCCCGAATTGAAGCTACAATTGTGCTGAACGCTGGTTTTGTGGAAAACATGGCCAATGCATTAAAATTTGTGTACTATTTAGCCTTAGAAACAAACTATTTCTAATACTCTGTTCCAAATATATATATACGTATCTTTTAGAAAGTGGCTTCAAACTATTCGTCTTAACCGTTTGTTTAGTGTGTCAGCATGGAATGCATTCATACGATACTATGACGACACTATCGTACTAGTATTATTGTCACTCTACTTCATTGCTGCATCACTGCTATGACAGTTGCTTTGAAGAAGATACGTGCATGAGACACATCCGCGATGCACTTTGCCTGTCATCAAGGCTCCAATTTAACTATCACTCCACTTCATCGCTGCGTTGGCAGAGAGCACTGCTACGAAGGACAGTGAAGCCACCTTCCGTATCTCTTCTCTAGCTTTAATATTGGGTTGATTCTTACCGGATTAATATAAGCGTAGGATGTTTAAGAAAGTAGTTGTTATTGGTGTTGAGCGATACGATGTTCACCGAGAACCATTGTTAATTATGCCGAATAAGTATATAAGATTTAAGAAATCACTAATATTAGTGCTAAATGAATATTTGTTGCTTATAGATATACAAGTCATTGCTATTAATGCTAAATAAGTATGCCGTATGATTGATAACTATACGACTTTTAGAGCAAGTGAACGTAGAAGTAACTGGCCAGTACGCTACGTCGAATTTTCAGTCCATGTGTCTTTCATTTAAGCGGGATCAGAAAGATTAGTGTACGTTGGCGAAGGGATTCCCGTCCATAATTATTTAACTTAGCGTTGAAGACTAAAGTTCCTAGACCACGCGCCTCCCTATATAGCGTACTTCATCCCCCCGCACCTTTTCAGGGCACCTTTTGCCCACTACCGGCCACCTCCATATTTATATCTAAGATAAGTATTACTAACCTTGACAAGGTTATGCTTGCTTTGATTTATGTAATCAACAATTCTGCAATACAACATGCCCCAATTAGGCGTCACTGAGCTTGGACAAATGTCCATCTTTCCCTGCTACAGGTAATATAATCAACTCAATCCAGCGGTCGATAACTTGAAAATCGGAAATTCTTAGAACTATGAAGGCGGCGAAAGTTATGGGTATTATACAACGTACAAAAGGCACGTATAGGTCCGGTTTGAGTAAGTTTAAAAGAATTTAACAAATACGAAAATAACAATAAACACACAGCAGCCAAGAAATTCCACAATTTCTTTCACAAATTCTGCAGTCAATGTGCCGTGTGGAAGGTTTTGAACCAATATGCGTGTTCTTAGCCATAGACTATCAGAGCTTTCTTGACGACATCATGAAATCAATATAGTACAGTAATGATCCGTTGAATCCATACACGCGAATCTCGATACAAATGAAGTTCAGATACATAAATAAGATAATTTTTTTTTATACAGTATTGCCCACGCCTTCTACATGTACTTCTACACGTATTAAATTTCCTAAAGCTCTAGATCTGTCGTTGGCTCTTACATCTATATCGTCGCATGTGGTGACACTGCCAAAACTTCGAGTAGAACTGCCTTTCCGCAAAGCTGAAGGGCTGTCAACTTTAGCGGTAACGGAATCTTTATCTGATGGGAGATCTTCCAAAGAGCCCTCATAGCGGCTTCTACTGTTAGGAGCTCCTGATGAACTATAGACCGACCGTCGGTACGTTGAACTCGGTAACGAGTAATTCGTCGAATAGGTCGAGGGTCGATAAAGAAGTGGGCTGCGCGTCGATAAGTACAGCGAGGACGATAATGAGGGCAAAACTTGTCGACGAAAAGTCGAGCTCGGACTCGAGCCATAGCTGTGGTAACTCATTGCACTAACTAAATTAAATTCTTACAACACTGAGTCACAGACTATTCCGAATGAACAGGAAACTTCTTTGGTCTACATATGACTATAGTCCACTCCAGGTAAACGATATGATGCTTTTCTCAGATATGTCGGTTGAGTTTAGTTGTCGATCGCTGACATGGCTCATATAAGCGAACACAGTATTTTTATTATATTAGATGCCCAAATCAGCGAGCTTGTTGATAAGCCAGACAAGAAAGGCACAAGCTAGGGCTTTACAGAGTATCTCTGCAAGCATCGCCGGTTAGGTCGCGATCAACAGCTCATTGCACGAAACTACAAGTAAGTATAGCCGTCCTTTAGGCAGAATAGTGGTATACAGCAATTCGATGGAAAACGATGCTGTAGGTGCATTATACAAGAGAGTATGGCCGTCTCGGGCTTCTCTCGACTACTTTAGGGATGAGGCCGCAACGGTGAAATTCAACTACAGTCGTGGCGCTAGTCTCTTTAGGCCCTTGAAAGAGAAGATCGTTGCACACTGCGGTGTCCTGCTTACCCGATGTTTGACTCTGTTGTGCCTATTTTTGTGTTTGAGAAAGGACAGACCCTGTCTGTTTCGGTTCATCGCCGACTTCCCAAAGGAATAGTCGGTGCCTTTCGACAGAATGACCTTTCAAAAGCCTAGAGGATATATCAAGAGCTTTTTCATAAAACGAGTTTGATTATGCAGTTTAATATTAGACAAAGGAAACAGCGAAAAAGCGGACCGAGAATTAAGGGTTTATAATAAATGAATGTTGTCTGTGACAGCGAGCGGCCCGAGATACGAGCGGAGAGGAGAGAACTGTTCATGATGCTCGCATTAAGATACACGAGAATTTCAGGGTGAAACGAAAGAAGGCCTTAGCCCACAGCGAAAAGTTAGCGTCAACTTCTATGGATGAAATAGCGGATCTTGATAGAATTGTGCGCCTTCCAAGAAGCACTGATTACAAACCTATCGGTCGACCTTTCCCTTTTAGCGCAGTTTTCATTGCTCATAGTCGTTGTCGATATAAGTTGATAGCTTCTAAGTGTTTGGTTGTAGCGAACTTACAGTAGTAAGTAGTAGTTACAAATCTAAACAAAAATCTACACAAAAAATTGGTGAGCTCTTTCAGTCAGGATTAGATTTCGGTTTGACGTTCTGGAAAGAGTAAGTAGGTCACCGATATTTGTTCTCATCCGACATCCGGAGATTCATGTAAAATTAAGCACTAATAGTGATGTGATCAATTCGAATCACTTCAATTCAGCAAATTAACCTGATAAAAAGATTACTCTATGCTTAACGAATATTGTACAGCTCGTATATACCTGATGAATACGCTAGGTCCATGTGGAAGTTAACGGAGGGCATGAAAATCTTTGCGATAGAACACTGGATTTTGTCCTGACAAAGCAATTTTAGCATATTATGGGTTGCCGAATAATTCATTCGAATGTTCTAAAATAATCCCGACAAAGCAATTTTAGCATATCATGGATTGCCGAACATTCGAATGTTCTAAAATAAGGCTACCTTTACAAAGTATGTCCATATCATTGCAAAATATAATCCATCATGCTATGTTAAGGGTGCTTACTTTTGCTCTGATAAGGGCCAGCGATAGTTTGAACAGCAGATCAAATAAAAAAATCTCTCGAAATATTTGGAGGGCTTGGATATTAGAAATGCGTCCTGGCTCCAGGTATACTTTCATAAGTACTTTTCTCCAAGCTAGCCGCTATGCGACCTCAGCCCTTGTCGTCAAACAGCGTAGCTCCATCAATATTACAGATCTTAAAAAATCATTTGTTTTTCCTACGTACAAAAATAATTCGAGCAGCGACTCTGGTTCTATCTGACCAAAGACAACTTCGTAACCGATGTAGTTTTTTGTGATTTGTTGGATCTACGATTGAGTCCAGCATAAAATATTTGTCAGTACAGTATGTTGCTAAAATGTGTCATGTTGCAAAAAGCTAGCCTAGTTGGTTCCTACAACTTCGAGGTTCCTGTTAATAGTATCCACTACTGGCTATTGTACACTTATTAGCAAGGAAAATTTCACTAGCTCATTAACAACAAAGCTTATTGAGACACGTATGACAATGCTCGTATCAACAAATATGCAAGAGTAGCATTATTTCCCATATTTCATTTTCGCATTTCACCTAAATATAGCGTTTATGAAAAAATACTTTGCAAAAAATATTCACTTCGAGCATTCGATCGGTACATTCGAACATTTACAAATTTTAACATTTTTTTAATAAACAAATTTTAACGTTTTTTAATAAACAAATTTTAACATTTTTTTAATAAACAAATTTTAACATTTTTTTAATAAACAAATTTTAACATTTTTTTAATAAACAAATTTTAACATTTTTTTAATAAACAAATTTTAACATTTTTTTAATAAACAAATTTTAACATTTTTTTATAAACAAATTTTAACATTTTTTTATAAACAAATTTTAACATTTTTTTTATAAACAAATTTTAACTTTTTTTTATAAATTAATTTTAACTTTTTTTTTATAAACAAATTTTAACATTTTTTTATAAACAAATTTTAACATTTTTTTTATAAAAATTTTAACATTTTTTTATAAACAAATTTTAACATTTTTTTTATAAAC